CTGATTTTTATACATTTTTCGGTTCTTCATCTCAAGATTTAAATCCTCGTGTTTGATTAATCGCAAACGTCTCATGATGACACTAATGAAGCAAAACCATGTAGCAGATGATTAATTAAATAGTAAGTCGCAACTCTTCTAACAGGTGCATCGTGATGACGCAAGAAATCAAATAAGCCTTCTTATACTAAAGTAAAATAAAATGGCTATTGCTTACGCATGCAATTAGATACTCCACGATTTTAAAAGATACTGCTCATTGTGCAGACAACGTCGTATAATTGTAAATTCGCTCATGCCTCTGAAAGTCTCTGGATGTGTATGTATGTGTACCTGTATAATATGCGCGAATATTGACTTGATACATAGTGATGTATAGAGAAATCGTGATTTTCACAGTGCTTTGTAAAAGTTGTGAAATGCCAAAAATTGAAAACACTTGTTTGAAGAATAATTAATAGATAATTAATAAACGATATAATTGTTACAAAATGATATGATATATTTAAAGTTTTTAAAATTTTAATTAATAATCGCAAATTTCTCGCCGTATTCGTCATATATAAATGGGTCTTCGTGGAATTCGAGAGAGAGGGAGGGGGAGAGAGAGAGAGAGAGAGAGAGAGAGAGAGAGAGAGAGAGACTCATCTTCTTCGTGATCTTTGCATAATCGATGCATAATCATCGGAGTCTGCGTTTACGGTCGCGAATCGTGACGAGCACTGACTTTCTCACGTACAAAAAGCGTAAAGACGAAAAGATGGAAGCCGTTTCGACATTAGAATGTCAGAGACCTGTACGACACTGACGTTTTTGCATCGGAGCGACAGGTTAACCACGTTACGTCGAACATTGTCCGCCTGAGGAAAAGAACTCAGGCAAATGCAATTCTAATGCATTCAATTGTTACGATATCTTCATTATCTTGCTGAGATTCTCCCACTCGTAACAAGAAACACCACTGTCGAGAATCTATCTGTATAGCAATAAAATAATATATTCTGAAAAAGAAATAAATTGTAAGTTGTTTTGGTATAAAATACATTAAAAATATTTCTGACGTCAATGATGGCGATATTAACAATATCCAAAAATCTAGGGACGTCTAAAAATTAGATGCTGTATAAAAAAAAAGCAGAAAAATGTCTCGCCGAAGAGAGAAAGAGGAAAGGAAATAAGAGGGTGGAAGGAGAAAGAAAGAAAAGAAATATCAACGGGAGAGGAGATGCGGTGGCCGGAGGCGTCCTCCTCGAGCGTTTCGCCGTCGCATCTTCTGAAATGGCAAGGTCACCGGTAGTTACGTCACCAACTTTCCTCCGGTACAACCGCGCGTACAACTTCGAGAAAACCAAATGTCACAATGACCAAGGACGTTTCGGCTGCGCGTAATGTAAACGTCGCCTACGGCTAGCGCGATGAAACCCGCGCGCCGCAGCGTAGAAATCCAAGCGCTACGGGAAGTTTCGGCTTTCACATTTTCGGGTCGAGATCGGGCTAAGAAGATGGCATGCGCTGCAGATGAACGCATCCCGTACACGACCGTGGCCTTGTTTCAATTACATCTCCTACGACAAAAAAAGAAACAGAGAGTCGCAATAAATCCGCAGCCGAGAACAGAAAGATGAGGATCCTAAAGTCTGCAGGACCGTCTTAAGTAATGGTGAGGTCCTAGGATATTAATACGGCTTTCTGACCGGTGTTCATAGTCAGTTCTTATTTTAACACACGTTCTACAATAAGCTATTAGTAATAAATTGGAAGTCAGAATATATATAGTCAATCATTCTACTATACAGTCAATTATTCTTCTTACATTTGACTGTGATTGGTCAATTTTTAGCTTCTGATTCTTCCAATTTATTACTAATGGCTTATTATAGAATGGCCGTACACTGTCCTAAGTAATATCGCTAAGATGCGGCTTTCGCAGAATCGTATCAGCATCTTATGATATTACTTAAGATGGTTTTGGAATAAGAATAGACCGACCTGTGATTAATACGGGGTCTACAACAGAAGTCATATAAGCGAGTAGGACCTTAAGCTGTAGAAAATTAACCAATCATAGTCGATTATTTTTCTTATATTCGACTGTGATTGATTAATTTTCTACGACCGCTATTGTAGACTCCGCGTAAGAGATGAGAATCCATCGAGTATATTTAATACATATAAGACGATTACAGTCTCAACGTTACACTCAGGGTTGGGATGTATTAAACGTAACGTATTATACATGGTTTTTATACTTATAATACCGTATATTATACGTATTATACGTACATTTTTAAGTTTTATGTGTGTTATACATATTATACGTATTATACATTGTATTATACGTAAGAAACTACTCGTAACTCTAAATTACCCAACCCTGCACGGAGAAAATTTTATATTAAGTTTTAATACAATTTTAAATTACACTTTACTATGTCTTGTATTTTCAATGGACCCTCACAATATGATTCCAACTTAACTTTTACTATGATAATACTAATTTTTATCACATAAATAAAGTAATTATTTTGTTAAATCAGTGCTTAAGCCATATTTTAACATGAAAACAGTTAATTTTTGCTATGGTACGCAAACAAAATTTGGTAGGTATATATTTTTTACTTATCTTTACAATATTATCTTTCATTCAACAAGATTTGATTTTGTAATAAAAAATTTTTGCTAGGAAAAAGTGTAAAAATTACGTTGTATTATTGTTTAAAAAAAAATAGCTATAGCATTTAAACTGATAATTTATATGAAGACCGCAGCTACTACCACATTATATAAAATTTTCTCCGTGTGGTTACACCTATACGTATAATGTGCGAGGAAAGCTCACACTTTGAATTCAATGACAGGTTTCAGGGGGACAAGGAGAGAGAAGCGGTTAATTCATAAAATCAGTCTGAACTTATCGCGCTAACGCGAGACGGATAAAGATCATACTCGGCGATTGAAGACGTCGCATTGTAATATGAGAACGAGAACAATTGCCTTTGTATAGCTGAGTCAATGATTCGCCCTTGACAATGATTCGCGGATTCCTGCCACGGAAAATCATTTCATGATGCACCTGAATGAACACCGGACAAGTGGATGCATACAAATAAATACGAGAGCGTATTCCCGGTTTCAGAATGAGAGGGACGTTGCGCAACGCAATAAACGCATCAACACAACGTGGAAGGCATCTTCTTCGTGCGATGCATCGACGTCTAATTCAAAATATAAACATAAATTGTGCACGGTGTTGTTGTGTTAATCCGCGTAGGTGCGCACATTAACGGCATGCACGTCGTAAACGCACAAACGTCGCGTGATAATTCCTTGCATTGGTGAATACCATTAACGCCGTAAGACAAGGCAGAGGAACGTCGTTATAGGTTCCGTCTCGCCTTCATCGTCCTCGGTGAGCGCACTGAGTAAATGAAATTTTTATTTGCGTGTGGAAAATTAATGGCTTATATAATAAGCTCATTATTTTAAATCGCATTTGTTTGGCTTATTTATATCTATCGTCGGGACACGTGTATTATACTCGTATATCGGGATTCTCGGTAATGATTACGATTACATGCGAATAATATTAACTGCGAGGGAGCTGCCGTTATTCCGCCATTCATCAGTGTCAACTAAGCGAATTATAACTGATTGCTGCCAATTATAATGAAATTTGCATTTCTATTATTCTAACATACGCTTCGAAGTTCGATAGAATCGCAATAAAGCGTGATGCAGCGACATCGCGAATTTACGAAAGACAGAAGTTGCCGAAAGCTACCTTATTTTTTACTGTAAATTTTATAACTAAATGTAATTAAATAAATCTACTTATATATACAATATACGTACATGTTATACGTACTTATGTATCTAAAATAATTATCAATAGTTAAAAAGTCTGTTGAGAGCTGACGCTAGTTGTAGTTGCGAATTATAATTTTATTGTTTTCCAATGTGCACACATATAATAAAATAAATAAAATAGATGTTTCGACCGGTGTTTTGGATCCTCTTCAGTATTATTACGTTGAGTAACAAATAAAATACTGCATTACATACAAGACGTTGTTCTGACGGATCGCTTGAAATGCGTTTTCATCGTCAAGTATCGCTTACATCGAGAATTATGCTTAGAACAGTCATTAGACTTCCTGGTTTAATGACAGTTCCAGATTGCTATCGATGTTACGTGTACAACGGTCATGATCGTAATGAATGTAATGCAGTATTTTATTTGTTACTCAACGTAATAATACTAAAGAGGACCCAAAACGCGGATTGAAACGTCTATTTTATTTATTTTATTAAAATAATAAAATTATAATTCGCAACTACAACTAGCGTCGGCTCTCAGCAGACTTTTTAACTATTATTGATTAGAGCCTATACTTCTTTGATTGTCTAAAATAATTTGTTAGGTTTCATATAATTAGGTATAAATTATAAAAATATAAAATTTCTAATTTTAATATAAAACTTTTTGATTGCATTTCTATCTAAAGTGTAGAATGTATTTATATAGTAATATCTTATATCGAATTTATGGAAGATTGTTCCGACATACTTATATTAATTTCTAATAGATCTAGATCTAGGAAATCAATAATTGTAACGAGTTGTACGAAGAACCTGCGGATAAGAAAAGTAATCACTCATTATTTTAGGAAAGATGTTATTCTAAAATCCTGTTTTTGGAAAATATGAATTTTTTTCAAATTTTAGTATATCTTGCAGTAAAGTCCTTTATAAAACCAAGTAATTCAATTAGCAAATTTAAATCACGGCGTGCGTTCGCAGTGGTGAAAAGTAAGATATAGCCCGTAAACGGGCAGCGTCTAACGGCGACCGCGTCATCACATCACAGATACATCCTGCATTTGCGGGAGAGACTCATCCGCGAATCCGTTGGGGGCTGTTGCTGCTGCTGCACATGCAGGTGGGGGGATGTGCAATACGGCACCGTGATTTTCTGCTTATATAAAGGCAGATGCACCGAAGGATCCCTGGTATCTACGTATCGGTCGTCGTTTAAGGACGAAGGGCCGCCTTCGGGATCGTTCGCAGATCGTTCGACCACGAGAGAAAACCTGGCGCGATGAAGACGGTGGGTGGCGATCCTAGAAGAGATATAAAAATACATATTCGAGATATATTAAGATCTGTCAAAGAAGAGCGACCGTAGACCTCTTCTTTAGGCCTTTCGAGGAGGGACGACAGGCGGGACCGAATCGTGAGGGTTACCGCCGATATTTTCAAGCTGGGTCTTCCGAAACGGACTCAGCCACCCAATTTTTGCGCAACAGTGAAAGTGAAGAGGATTTTGTGACATTTGTGCGCGCGTGAAATTATACTCTTCATTCGCCACGGAGAACATCTACAGGGTGTCGCGGAAAGGCTACAATTTCGATGATTAATCCGGCGTACAGGTTTTTTTTTTTCAGGAGAATCTGACAACAAATTTTTAATATTCAAATATTAATTAAACAGATCTCAAATTGAGATTCTAAAATTTCAAGTTTTAAATGATCTATAGAATTTACGTTTACTTATTCCATCTAGTTCACGAGAAACTTTCATTTTATGATATTACACAACTCGAAAAAACTCAGAATGATTTAATGATTCAATAAGCAATCGTTTCTATGTAATCGAAATTATTGATCATTTAATGAACAATTATTTCTAGGTAATCGAAATTATTGACATCTGCGACACTTTGTATATATCCGAAGAAGTCAATCCGTTGTTTTTTCTGTTCGTTGTGCAAACGATATATCTCGATTTAATTTCGTAATAATCTAATACTGGTCGTCGAAAGATCAGGTTCCGAGAAAAGATCGAATTTCCAACACAGCTACCGCATGTTCCTCGCAGAAATCCAATCAATAATTCATTTAAACAAAATGTTTACCCTAACATTAATTATTTAAATAAATCCAATCTAATACTGGCCAATTTAAGACCAGAAATTATTTATTTTGAATATTAAAAGTATCGAACAACTGTATTGAACAACAGCTTTTAATACTCAAAATAAATAATTCAAATCACCATCTTCCAATATAAATATTTTTATAAGGGATATCTTACGATAAAACAAATTTAAATATGCATGGTCACAATAAAAGACATCTGATTAATTTAATAGAAGTCAACGCGATAGAGACGAACGATCTCGTTCTTGTCTTCTTCAACGAAATGATCTTCTTGCTTCTCTTCGTCACGCAGGTGTTCGTCATTCTGGCACTCATAGCCGGCGTTCTCACGGCGCCGCAATCTAATCCGAACGATATCACAATCGTGAACCAGGAGGAGGTGAACAATATAGGGGTAGGTGGGTATCACTTCAGTTATGAGCAGAGCGACGGTCAGAAGAGGGAGGAGACGGCAGAGCTGAAGAACGAGGGCACCGAAAACGAGTCCCTCAGCGTCGTTGGTAGCTTCAGTTTCATCGCGCCGGACGGACACACGTATAGGTACACGAAATTACAACAAAACCATCTTAGACAACCTATAATCGGATAGGATTCTATTTGTAATTTATATTCTTTTTTTAAGTGTATTTTTGTATTCTTCCTTATATCGGAATATACACTTACACACATATATGTGTGTAAGTGTATATTTTGATTTTTCTAAAACTGAAGATTCTTTCAAAATATCAAGAAGATCTATTTTATATACTTGATATTTTATTTTAGATTTAGATTTTATATATTTAAAACATTTAATATTTAATTATTAAAAACTTAGATAATCTATATAATTTAAATTCATATTTTATACTCTTACAATTTTTTTGTTATGTTTATTTGCAAATAAATATGACAAAGATTGTAAAAATGTAAGATATAAATTTGAGAACTATATAGATTATTTAAGTTTTTAATAATTAAATATTAAATTTTTGTGGGAGTGTGAGTTACGATTTCATCAAGTGTCTTTTGTATTGCATGGCACATAGAATTACGAGTACAAATTGAATTCTATCCTGAACCCTGACACGAATTACGGATCGTCTAAAGTGGCCTTTAGGATTGCAAAAATGATTACAAATTCGAAAGTAATGTCTTTATATAGAATGTTTGCATCGTTCGAGAACGTTGTAGCTCTTTGAACACCCTCTCTGTAATTGCAGGGTTGATTACACCGCAGATGAAAACGGATTCCATCCGACTATCAATCTCGTCGCAAAGTAAGCGGACTCGAGGACCGAAGTTACATCACCTTAGGTCGTCGACATACACGCTCGTGTGATTACACACGAATTAGGATATTTCTAATCATATGACACTGCAAGGCACGCGATTCACACCGATGCGAATGGCAAAGAGTTGACGTCAGTCGCTAGTTAGAGAACGATCTTCCGCGCGATCGTTCTTCTCTGGCCGATTCGCTTTCGATGAGTTTCGTGATATCAATTGTGGTATTTTACAAAGCGAGAGAGATGCATTTCTTAAAATCAACAATGATCACGCAATTAGACTAATTTATTAACACTTTTGCATCGTCTTCGCTCCAAAACCAAGAATAATTCTTTGAGCAGTGCAGCACGTCGGCAAATAGTATAGATAAAATTACGAGTAGAATTAGCAAAATTATTTCGCTCAATATTTCTTTTTCTCTTTGATTTTCTCTTACAATTAACGTAAAAAATATTCATGAATATCGCATAACATCACGACTTACGAAACGCATTGAAGTCTTCCACGAGTGAAACACGTGCTTACTTGCAACTGGCAATATGTATTATACAGTTTTCTCGAAACTACTAGTAAACGTTTTGAACGAGAGACGTCCTCTGTTTGCAATTCTATCTTTATAGCGAGGCGACAATGCAACACTCATTGAGGTACCGCGATAACTACGGTTTCTCCCTGGCGCAACCTTTCTTTTTTATACACGTAATCTATATGTATATTATATAACATTTATAACAAAAAACAATTTGTTCAAATAAACTTGTATACATACTGAAGAAACCTCCCTGTGACTGTTTACCATATCGCGTGCTTTCTATACAATTAATAAAGCTTTTTATCCAATCTGTAGTTTGCATCCAAATTTCAAGATAGAAATTTACATTTATGACTTTTTATATCATATATTTTATTAAACATATAAATTTTACTCAGAAATTCGATACAAAATCAGATCGTTTATAATGAATTTTAGGATGAAAGCAAAAATAGGTTTTTACGGCATAAAAAAATACATTTAATTCATTACAAAAAGGAGAATATTAGTTATGTGTTCATACTTATGTTAAAAAAATATCAGCGCATTAAGTTCGATGTAATAATAATTATTAGTCAGATTGTATATGTAATTATTAGTATTAATATTATTGCTGAGCGCGAATGTGGCATGGCAGACAGCGCTCTGATCTATCATGCCCGGGTCCGATCTGAGTAGGAACCAAAATATTTACGCTCGTGTTTCCTCTCGGAAAAGGCTGGCAACTTCCCGAGTTTTCTTATTCACAGAAACACCTCTCGAAAAATCCGCCGGAACCGGAATTAAAACTGTAGGTCCCATATGCTTGTGGCGAGTAGAGAATAATCAACGTGTTCACCACAAGCATATGAGAGAGGTGTAACACAAGCTAGAGGCCTAACGTAAGAAGAATAAAATCTTTTCCATTTTGTGCTACGAAGGCTTTGTAGATATAAAGTTCATATAGAAAGTACTGAGGGAGCAATATTATAAAACTAGTCCATCAATACTTTCTATATAAACTTTGTATCTACATCTTTTTTTATAATTCGATTCGGTATTACGAATAAAAAAGTATAGTTTTTTTTCTAATTAAATGTACTGGGTTAAATATGTTTTTATTTTATGTAATAGAGAAAGTATTATATAAATTATGGTAATATAAAAAATGTATGAAGTACCAGAGAGAAACCTGAGAGTGGACATCCTGGCCTTTTTCGTGTATCAAACTTCGTAGGGTAATGTCCACGGTTTTTTTATGGTTTTTTTCCACACTATTACGTGGATTAGACAAGGACGAATAATCAATTTTGATTGTTCGTCCTTGTCTAACTCACGCAATAACATAGAAAAGAATCATAAAAACGTGGACATTACCCTACAAGGTTTGGTACGTAAGAAAGGTAGGGATTTGATACATAAAAAAGGCCAGAATTTGATACACGAAAAAGGCCATTCTCAGATTTCTCTCTAAAAGTACAGATTGTTTACAACAAATTGTTTACGAGAATAAGAACAAGAATAGGTTTTTACAGTATAAAAAAATATATTTAATTCATTACAAAAAGGAGAATGTTAGTTGTATATGTGCATATTAAGAGTAACTCACATTTAAAAAATATCAGCGTATTAAATTCGATAATAATAATTACTCAGATTGTATACATTAGTATTATATTATTGCTAATTAATACATATATATTTGCTAATATAATAATATTATTAGTATATACTATTGCTAATATTAATATATAAGCTCGCATATAAGTAATTTTACATACATAAATATTTCTTAATTATATCAGTAAATACTAATAACTAATTTCCTATGATTAGCCTATGTACAATTTCTTTAATGTGTATTATATCGAAATAATGTCGAATGTTGAAATTTATATAGCTATTTGGTAAACATACGTGATCAAGTATTCAAGAAGTTAATCGTCATGTTGCAGGTGATATAATTATGCAACTATATGAATAATACTGAAATACGATTATAATAAAGCTGAAAATCCTCCCAGTGCAATAAGAGATCTTTTTCTCGTCAAATGTAAATGAATTTTACAGTTTCAAAAGATATGAGAAAATGCACTGAAAATTTAATACATAATACTCATGTATATATACATATACATTAAATATTTCAGTATTGAATGGATAGACTATCCATTGAAAGATTGCTTTGAAATTCTGATTTTTAATAAAATAACTATCAACGTTTAATGAAACCTTGTATAGATTGTGTGTCCACGATTAAAAATCAAATCGATTCATTCGAATATTTATATTAAAACAATTAATTATTTGCAGCAAACAAATAATATCATACACGAAAATTTTTAAGCGGCCAAAAGTAGTATATATTCGCTACTTTTCTATATATTTTTCTTTTTCTTGTAAAGTATTATAAACAAAGTATTTTATTCTACATTCCGATGAATGATGCATCACATATGAATACATATGCATGTCTGCTATCAAAAATCGATCTATACGTACATGAATACGTTGCTCGAAATTAAAGTTTAATTTTGATTTAAGCTTTGTAAATTGAACTTCCCCAAGCTCTAATTAAACTTAGAGTTTTATTCAATTTAGACATCCATTCCAATCCTTTTTCTCTCGTATCAGCTAATAAAAAGTGCCTATGAATTAAGTGCCACAGAATTAAAAAAAATTATATTCTAACTCAAGAGCACATTTTTGTATTGCGATAGAACTAGAAAACAACTATACATACTCAATTATGGTTTCCTTTCCATCTGTCTTCATAATGAGAGTATTAGTATCTCCAGGTTGTACAGGTCTCGATATCTCAAGTAGAAATGTGTAAGGACGAGCATATTTCTCTCGATTTATAAATTGTACGTGCTTTGTAATAACATCTGCAATATCACAAAAATTAAATCAATAATAATCAATATAGATATAATGCAGAAATTATGTTAGTCGAAAGTTCAAAAGTTACCCTCCAAATCGAGATGTCCTACTGGATTTTTTTTGTGTTCGTCCTCAGGATGTACCCAATAATAAAGCTTAGCATCTTTAAGCCAACACCATCTTCGACGCCAAGCACCCAAATTTGTAATCTCCTCAAAGAGCGTCAAAAATCCACGATACTCCACTGACACCGAGAGTTTACGCGATATACGCATTCGCAGGTATCCTTCTAATGGAGAATGTGACGAGACCTGAACGGAAAGTGCAAATTAAGTATGCGAAGATTACACACATACTGACATTACGAATCTTGATTATACTGAAGAATTAATATACGTACGTCGAACAAAGTAAGTTGGTCGCGATTTATATCATCGAGGGTGAGGGATGTTGTTCCCGACAATTCGAAAGCCGGTGATCTGATTGCATTTGGACCTGCTGGACTCTGTATTTCTGGCATTATAAACTGATTCTTTTTCTTTGGTGTCTTATTGACCGCCTGCAAATGGATTCAACATTAAATTAAATCGTTCTTGTGTATATTTATAATATATTTTATAAAGAGAAAAGTAAGGAAGGATCTTGGTTTGAGACTTACTTTTACAGTATGACTGATATGATATTTTTTTTCATGTGGCAAATATTTTGGTTGCGTCTGAAAAGTATATACTTCAACAAGAATCTTGAAATCACTGTGCAAATTATCAAGTTTCAACATCGAAGTAAAACGGATGCACGAATCGCCTGGTTCAGCAGTTGCTGCTTGAGTAGCGAAAACTTCTCCTAAATAATACATCAAGCAGACACAATGAAGATATGTATCTGTAACAAATTGCAAGATTATTATGTTTAATACTGGTTATTTCAATAGTTCAGTTTTACATAAAAAAAATAATGTAAAAATTTAACTATATTGTAATTAATCACTTACTCATGCCCATATTTCGGAAATATTCTTGCTTAAGCGGTAATGTAATAGCAGAAATAGTTAATGATCCACTCCCCTGCACTTCCGGCGAGCCTGCCTTAACAGGTCTCAGAGTGCCTTCTCGTTTCAACCTCTGTACTTCATTCAACGCAGCTTGGCGTTTGTGAGCTAAGTAGAAAATAGATATTTTTCACATTCAGTAGCTATATTGTAGTTTCATATGTATTAAAATATTCAATTTTATTATCATCTAATTTATATGTAAAACTTATCATATAAAAATAAAAACTTACTAGCGACAAGCAGAGCCCATTCGCCTCCAACGTGCTCACTAGAACCATTAAATTCGACAGTAGAATGACACAGATTCAGTGCTTTGCTAGCTTCTTCTATCTTTTTCTGTTGTGTTATAACAACTTCATCCAATAACTTTTTCACTTTCATTTGCACCAATATGGATTCGTCTTCGCGTTTCTCTGTATCAAAAACTGAATTTGATCCTGTTTCGTGTCTTGCTGAATTAATTTTAGCCAACTGAAATTCAGTAATAATCATGTTATTATTCTTTGTTTACATCAATTATGATATTAAACAACTTACTTGAGATTGTTGTCGTCTATACTATCCAATAACTTTTTCACTTTCATTTGCACCAATATGGATTCGTCTTCGCGTTTCTCTGTATCAAAAACTGAATTTGATCCTGTTTCGTGTCTTGCTGAATTAATTTTAGCCAACTGAAATTCAGTAATAATCATGTTATTATTCTTTGTTTACATCAATTATGATATGTTATATTAAACAACTTACTTGAGATTGTTGTCGTCTATATGCACTAACCGTGCGTACTAATGGTACGCGCTTGTCACCATCTTCTAGTTTATCCGAATCTTTTAAAGGCGAACGATATCTGTGAAATTAAGAACAGTTTTACTTGTTAGACAATTTTAAAAAAATAAATGAAGGAGCAAGAAACATATTTTCAATAAAAATCGTGTACGAATGACTGTACTTGTAACTATTACATCCCATCGATGGACTTTCACCGCCTTTATTTATTTTAGGAGGTGTAGGACCTTCCTCCTTCACGTCATTTAATTCTCGATGAACTGGATCAATATTTGGATAAATGTCTTCATCAAGACATTCATCCAAATATTGATCCATTTCATCTAGTACCGAAATGTCTGACGTAATACTATCAGGATCCGGCTCTATGCATCTCTGTAATTGTAATATTAAAAAACACATAAGTATATCTGATGTGTATTTAATAATATGTATACTGCGCTAAGATTAAGTCTTTGTATACTTTTTTGTTAAACAACGAACGTTCGTCGAACTCATGCAAAATACTGCGTCCAAAACTCATACGCCCGAAAGATGAATTT